GCGCCGCCGCCGCCGCCGCCGCCGCCGCCGCCGCCCGGCTCCCCCGGCACGTCCAGGACCCGCTGCGCCAGGCGCGCCGTCCCCGGACCCCGCGTGCGTCCCCGCGAGGGCGGTGACCCGGCCGCTCGACCTGCCCGCCCCTCTGTCCCGCTTCCTGCCACCGTCGCCCCCTCCGGCCAGGGGCCCCCGCGAAAGCCGCGCCGGCCCTCGTCCCGGCTCCGCAGCCCCCGCGCCGCTCTCCGCGCCATGGACGCCCCCGAGCCGCAGCCCGACCCCGACGGCGGGGATGCCCCGGGCCACGAGCCCGGGGGCAGCCCCCAAGACGAGTTCGACTTCTCCATCCTCTTCGACTATGACTATTTGAATCCTATCGAAGGTCGGTGGGGGTCCCCCCGGCCTGGCCCTGGGGCCCGGGCTGGGGCTTGGGCCTGGGGAGTGGGCCCAGGGCCTCGCTTTGCTCCAGATGTCACACTTCCTGGGGGACCTGGATCGGGGGGCGCCTCTCCCCAGGTGAGAGGGAGGGCACGAGGAGTTAGGGACTGCTGCCACCCTTAGGGGGCGGTAGGCTCGCTCTTGCCCCCGAAGGGGGTCCGTTTTGTTGGGGACTTCTCCCTGAGGGTCACTGCTAGCAAAGCAAAAGGTGGCAGGGGACTCGGCGCCTCTTGCCGGCTGTTGGGTCGTCAGAGGGCAACGGAAGTGTTTGATTTGCCTTTGGAGAGAGGAGGTGAGAAAGCCCAAGAATGGAGTTAGTGGGGAGGGCTCTGGTGCAAAGAGCTTGCCACTGAGCCTGAGAATCAGGGCACATGGGCACATGAGGTTGGTCCTCCTCCGTCGGGCATGTGTCGCATTTGTTGTGGACTTTGTGATGAAACTAAGGAAGAGGTTGCTTGTGTCGGATGCTGGAGGGTGGTTTGACTTCACTGTCAGGAGGCCAGCCCATTTCCTCCCTGGGTTCTGCTGCGGCTGTTCGGAATCACCCCAAATGGGTCAGCCTGAGCTCTATTAAGGGATCCCCAACCCCAGTCATATGGTTGTGAGGGTTGGGGGAGCTGGCCTGTGGATTCAGGAAAACGCAGGCTATCCCTGCCCAGAGACCTGTCAGTCTGTGCCTTCAAGTGCCCTGGCGGGCTGGGGACTTCCCCAGGCTGGACTGCCCCCTCACCGTTTAATGGGAGTGCTTGTCAGATGGCGCAGGAGGTCGCACACCCAACCTCACTGTATTTTTCTAGTTGGCAGGTTGTCTTAGAAAAAACCAAAAACCTAACCCAGCTTCCTGAATTTGACAGCCCAGCCCAGCCAGTGCTTGTGGAAGCCTCAGGGGCAGGCTTGCTGGTAACTTCCAGATGCTCTCGGGCTTGGCTGCATCCGGAGTGCAGGCAGCGGGGGTACAGGCTGGTTTGTGTAGGAGGCCTGTTCACGGATACTCCCAGGCTTGCAGCTGCCCAGAGTTGCTGCGTTGGGCAAGGTGAAGGAGAAGTTTTAACTTTCCTTCCAACAGAATCTTCACGGGCCACCTTAGGTGAGGGGCTTGCTTTGCTTTCAGGGATCCCTTTTGCTTGGATACCAAGTGAAGACGGTAATCAGTAATGATTCTGTATTTTGGCTGGAGATGGAAATAATTAGCAAGAGACCCGTCTTCCCGGGTTGCAATCTGGAGGCCATCCTTTGCTTTGAAAAGATAGAACTGAGAATCTGCAAATGATCCCTCTAGCGTCAGTGGTCTTTCTATTTGTTAAGCTTAAAAAGTCATGTTTTCAGGGAACTAATATTTATATCCCTCCCAGATTCACAATCAGTTAACTTTTTTTTTTTTTTTGGCACAGGGGAGATTTCCGGGGAAATTGTTTCCAAGCCAAATCTGATGGGAGGTGCATTTTTATAGTTTTTCTTGGCAAGCAGTGCATGGTGGCCACTAGATAGGTGTTTAAATGATCATAGGCAAAGCTATGCAATCCTTTTTTTAAATGTTTTTTTGGGGAACAGTTTTAGATTTACAGAAAAGTTGTAAAGATAGTATTGAGAATTCTCGGAGATCCAGCATCCAGTTGCCTATATTATTAACATCTTACATTAGTATGGTGCATTTGTTATAATTAATATATAATTAATAAACCAATGTGGATACATTATTGGGAACTAAAGTTCATACTTAGTTTAGATTCAGATTGTCCTTGTGTTTTTTTTTTTTATGAACTTGACAGTTTTGAGGAGCATTGGCTAGTGATACTGTAGAATGTCCCTCAGGAAGGGTCTCTCTGGCATTTTTTTTTTTTTCATGGATAGACTGGGGCTCTGGTTTTGGAGAAAAAACTCACAGAGGTAAAGTGACCATTTTCATTATGTCTTATCAGGGCTCCCTGCTATCAGTATGATCTATCACTGTGACGGTGAGCTTTATCACATGGCTGTGGTAGCGTTTGTCAGGTTTCTTCACCGTAAAGTCACGCCTTTTCAACACTGTGCTCTTTGGAAAGAAGTTACTACGTGCAGTCCCGGTGATGGAGTGGGGAGTTCTGTTCTGGAATCTGTAAAATAATGACTCCTTGCTGGGAAGAAGTCAGCACAGAAACATTGTGGCTCAGGAAGAAAGGGGACATCATGAGCCTTGAGAGGCTGAAGCAAGCTGTTCCAGATGTGGGTCTGGCTCACCCAGATGTTAGTAGGGGTCACCTCTCTCTGCTTCCACGTGGTGGAACTCCCCAAGGACCAATGCTAGCCCTTGTCTTGCTATTGGGCTGTGTCCCAGGTGATAGTGCGCTGGTGATGCATGTGAGCTGTTACCCTTAACTCTTTGCATGAGCCCGGCAAAAACCAAGGAATGAAAAGGACTGCTAATGGACAGACACTGGTGGAACTGGTGAATGCACTTAGGAATTTGGGGGAAGTCGGATGCTCATTTCATGGAACTTTGGCATATAGCAGATGCTCATTAGCTTATGTAATACCCCTCCAGTCCTAGCAGGGAGGCATATCATCCCCCTCATTTTACAGAGAGGGCACAGAGGTGAGGGAATTTCCCCAAGAAAGCGGAGCTGGCGAATGGCAGGGCTGACATATGAACCTACCTGTCCTGCTCCTGAGCTTGGGCTGTGAACTACTGTGTGAGGGTACTTCATTCCCTCATTTAATGAGAGACATGGGAAGGCAGTTGTAAGGGGCAAGGCACCATGGCAAAGCTGGGGTTTAAAATACTTACCAATAAATTGGGTCAGTCATTTAACCTCTCCGGACCTCTGTTTGCTCATCTGTCAGGTGGCTGAAATAATAGTGCTTACCTCATAGGGCTGTTTGCCTTGAGTGGGTTTACACGGAGTGTGATTTATTACTAGCATTTTATTAAACTCTTGGTTTTGTTAATGGAAGTGCTCAGGTAGTGTGAGCCATTATTCATTTACTCCTCCAACTAACTATTGAGCACCTATTGTGTTAGATCCTGGGGATACAGTACGGACTATGACCCAGCCCCTGCCCTCACTGAACTGGAGCCTCTACTTGTGCTTCTAATTATTTTCTCTTGTCTGATTGCATTGACTAATACTTCTGGTAGTATGAATGGTAGCCATCTTTGCTTTGTTTCTATCCCAAACAGGCATACCTCTAGGGCCAGCTTTAGGACTGAGGTATATGTATTTTTTATTATGTTAAGGAAGTATCCATCCATTCCTATTTTCTGGAGGGTTTTGATTAGGAAAGGGGAGTTAAATTACATCATGACTTTTTAGCATCTTTGGAAAAATATGCTTTTATTCTTCCTAGATCTATTAATATTTCTAAATATCGAAACATTTCTGGTATAAACCCCACTTGGTCATTGTGTATTATTTTCTCATGGTGGAGCAGCTGGCAGCTGTTTGATAATATTTAAGATTTCTTTCAGCAGTATTTATGAGTGGTATTTGTAATATCCTTTTTGGTGTGCTATTTTATTTAGGTTTCTTTCCTTTTCTATGCTCAGGAATAATGGATGTGTTGTTGGGACCATCTGGTTTCTAAAGTTGTCATAGAATTCCTCTGTGAAGCCAGCAGGACCTGGTGCCTTTTTATGGGGTTGTTCTGTGATAGCTTTCTCTATTCTCTCTATGGGAATTGGCCTGTTTATTCTTTCTATTTCTACTGGAGTCATTTTTGGCAAGCTGCATCTTTCTGAGAAATTATCCATTTCATCCATCTAGGTTTTCAAGTTTATTTGCCTAGAAGCATGCAAAGTAGACTCTTATCTCTTTCAACTGAGAAAGACAGCTAAATGCATAGTAACAGGAAGGAAGGAAGCAGGGCTGTGGGAGTCCTGACTATGGCTTCTGACCCAACCTGGTTGGGGAGAGGTGTGCTGTCTGTCAGACAGATCACAGTTTAATTCCCTGTATGTGCTCATGAATTCAATGAATTCTTCCCTCACACTGGGAAAGACAGATGGCTATTGGGAATGGGTAATGGGGTGGGAATGCAGGTGGAAGGGAGAGTTCAGCACAACACCACCTCCGACATGAGTCTGCTTTGCTCCCACATGCTTTTATACCATTTTCAAGTAGATTCACAGACCCTACTGTAACCCGTTCCCTAATGTCGCCTGCACTTCAAGTCAGGAACACCTGCTCTCACCCCATTCACAGGAGAAAATTAAAACACCATTCTTTCAGCAAACACTCAGTGAAAGCTAGTTTTGTGCCGGGCCCTGTGGGGGTATAGAGACGAATGAGAAGTGGTCCTGCCCTTGCCTGGCCCCCAGGCCAATGTGGAACACAGCCTGGTAAACAAATAGGGACACACGAGGTGCTGGGATATAGTATCTCAGGGTTTTTTGGTGCTTACTAAAAATAGTTCTACCCTAAGCAAGCAGGTTCGCTGAACACATGTGACATTCAGAGACATTGCCGTCTGTGTCAAGTTAAGGACAGGCCTTAATAAGTCTGCTTTGTGCAAACAGTGTCTCCAGGTGCAGCTGGAAAGGTGAATTGAGGGCTAGGGTTGAGCAGTGGCCTGGTCAGGGAGGGAAAGGAAATGGGGAGAAAGTTGCCTTAATTATTCTTCATTACTGAACAAATATCATCCCAGCGTTTAAAGTAAAGGCTCTCTGTTCTTGAGGTGGCCTTAGATTTTGGTCAGGAGTGGAGGCTCTTGAAACCCGACAGCACTGTTATTTGGGTTGGTTCCTAAGACTTTCTAGTCCTATAAGATGATGAGCGTGAGTGAATTTGAAAAATGCAGCATTTGTGGCCAATGGCTCTCAATCTTGGTTTCACATTAGAATCTTCCAGCTGGCCCTAAAACCAGTGAAATCAGTCTATTTGGAGGTCAGTTAACTTTGCTGAGTGTCACACAGTGGTAAGTGGCAGGGCAGACCTTGAACCCAGGCAGATGGAGTCCTGAGTCCCTGCC